CAATGTGGATTGTAGAAAAGTCCTTCAGTCACACTGATGTTTAAAACCTGTTGAAGCAGACAGAACAGACATACATTTCTCTTTCTTCATTTAAATGCCGATGATATTCCACTCCGATGAATTGAGTGACTCCGTAACATATTGACATATCTTTGTTTTGAGACTTGTGTGTGTGAATCTTCCCCTTTAATCAGCACGTAAAAGAAGTTTACACAAGTTGTCACTGTCAGTACATGATAGAAATTCATATTATGTGTGTATGTTATTTAATTTTAAAATGTGAGCTTTGGAAATTCATATTATGTGTATGCAAGTGTTATTAAAGCTCACATTATGTGTGTATGTACATGTTATTTAATTTTGAAAAGTAGTCATTATACATATTGTTTGTGATTAAAGATAGATAGGGGATGTGAGGAAGAATATTAATGAAGGAGGAATTGAGAATGATTTGGAACTCGCTGCCTACATGGTTATTGAAATTGGGGGCAATAAATTGTTACAAAATAAAATTAGATAAGAATTTGAAAGAAATAAACATGCAGCCTATTATTGTGTAGATATTATGTACCTACTATGTTAAAAGACTAGATATCATTAGAAAAGAAGCTTAGAAAATCATAAATAACGTGTCAAAATATACCACATAACACGAGACTCAATTGTCTTATTAATTGACAGATTACTGAAATGAGAAATTATCGCTTTAAGATGTGAACTTTAGGAAAGAGGCCATTCTTTTAGCCAAATTAATATATCAAGGTGAGGGAGCAAAGAATGTCAATGTATGGAAAAGAGAGACAAATTAACCGACCTTTGCCGAGCCTGCCTACTCCCTGGATTCACTTCCTGTCCCTTCAGTTGTTGCAAGGGAACAAGGGAACAAGGGAGCACTTTTCTCTCTCCCTCCCTCCTTCCTCACGGATCTACTTCCGCGTTGTGACGCCCACCAGTGGAGGGCGGGGCCTTCCCGAAGCCGCCAATAGGAATTACGGTGTTCGTTGGTGACGTCCTCGGGTTCCAGGCCAGCGGCGCGATCAGGGTCGCCCCGCCCCCACCCTTTGTTCGGCCTCCTGGGGCCACGGTTTCCAGGGCAACCGGCCCGGGCTGAAGCGAGAAGACGATCGGGGAGGGGGCACGCCCCCTGCTTCCCGGCGACGGCGGCTGCTCCCCAAGGGACCGATTGAGCCCCGCCCACATGCGGCACTGCGCTTGCTCCGGACAGCCGCCCCTTCCACCACCACCGCACCTCGTCTGCTCCGGACAGCGGGGACCACACTGCGCCTGTGCGCTGTTCTCCAGCTCAGGGCGTTTTGGATGGGAAGAGGAGGCTGCAAAATGTAAAATGACTTCCCTTCATTTCCCTCCACGTTTGATTTTCATGCAGCAGCAGGGTTTCTTTTTTGAGTTTCACGTGTTACGGAGGAGGAATAGCCAAACCCCTCTGATAATTAAACTAAAACACAAGCGCCAATCTGTTATGACGGGAGTAGAGGCTCCCCTCTCATAATTACCCCCCGCAACACCCAGAGAAGCTCGACTTTCCCCTCGTAATCTGTTAAAAGAGTGATTAAAAGAAAGATAATCCCTGATCTCCAATTTACAAATAACAAGAAACAATTTATTTATTTAACTAACAAGGAACAAATGAGCAGAGTTACTAACAAACTGAACAAGTTGCCCTAAGTACTATTTCCTAACTTTCTAAAATCTACTGGAATACTGTTCAAATAAACACAAGTCCAATTTAATAAACTCAATTAGTAAAAGAACAATGAATTATAACTTAATCTCTCCAAGTTCACAGACTGTCTTTTCCACTCTATTCACAAATGCCTTTCTTCCGTTAATTATACAATCAAGGATGTTTATATCTATAATTTCTTCAATGAGGACTCTGACCTAAAATACTGTGGTACCTTAAATTAATTAGGTGGCCTTTCTCTAAGAGCTGAATGATGCTAACTCTGGCATGTCGCAGATCGCTCTCTCGGATTTTCCAAATGCCCTTGTTTTATAAACCCATAGTGACTTAATCAAATTCTTATGATTGGTTTCAGGTTGTCAATACTATCAGATTTAAATTCAATTGGCTTTCTGTATCTAGGTGCTTGGTTTAAATTAATTAGCCAATTTCAATCTTGTTGTCTTGGGAAAAAAATGCTGCTTGGCTGTTCTATACAAAATGTTTCCATTAGGGCACTCGTGCACCTGTATTTATAAACTTCCAAACATAGACAAAGCACAAGCTCTTAAAGGGACCACAGCACTCTTTTCCCCACCATAATTTTTACCAAAACAAATTCTAATTTCCTGCCTTCCAATGCATGAATACTCTACCCAACTTCATAACAACATTAACTGAAACTTCCTCCTCCGTGCAGCATCTGTCAGTAAAGCAATTGCCAGACCTTCCCCAGGATTTAGAGAGCTGTGGGACTCTGGAGCTGGAAGTGTCAGACCTATTCAGGGATGAAATGCTGGGCATTTTATGCAACCTATTTTTCTTTCATGAGTTATTTCCAATGCAACTAATCCTGTCTAAGGTCAAAACTTTCTAATCTATTTACCAGGGGTTGAAAAACAGAGAAGCGAAGCATTTACATTTGAAGGGAAATCATCCCATTTTTGACCAAGAATCTGGCAGCAATAATAATAAAACTAAGAACTGCAGAGGGTCAAGACCTGGAAGAAAAACAGATGCATCACAGTGACTCCAGCAACACTGCAGGCTCTGAAACTCAAGAGATTCTGCAGGTGAGTTGTACTTCCTGCAGACAGTGATGTCATTGGCAGCATCTACAACTTCTCATACATACATGTGATGAAGCTGCCAATGGCATGGTTTCACTTAATATAGAAGGCATGGTTAGTAAATTCATAGATGACACCAAGTTTGGTGCTATAGTGGACAGGGGAAAAGATTATCTAAGATTACAAAGAGATCTTGATCAGTTAGGTCAATGGGTTGAAGAGTGACAGATGGAATTTAAATTGGATAAATGGGACGTATCGCATTTTGGTAAAACAAACAAGGGCAGGACTTATACAATGAACAGTAGAGCTTCAGGTAATGTTGTAGAACCAAGAGACCTAGGTATTCAGGTACATGATTCTTTGAAGTATGCCTCACACATAGGGTGGTTACAAAGGCATTTAGCTCCCTTGCCTTCTCGCTCAGACCTTTGAGTATTGGATTGGGATGTTAGGTTGAGGTCATACAGGATGTTGATGAGGCCTCATCTAGAGTGCTATGTCCAGTCCTGGTCTCACTGTCACAGGAAGGATATTATTAAGCTGGAGAGGGTTCAGAAGATATTTACCAGGATGTTGCCAGGAATGGAGGGTTTGAGTTATAAGAGGAGGTTGGGCAGGCTGGGAGCTATTTCACTGGAGCGAAGGAGGATGAGGGGGCAACCTTATAGAAGTTTAGAAAATCATTACAGGTATAGATGAGGTGACTGGTAGGTGTCTTCTCCCCAGGGTGGGAATTTCAAGACTAGGGGGTGTATTTTTCAAGGTGAGAGGAGAAAGATTTTATAAAGACATGAGGGGCAATTTATTTATATAGAAAGTGGTTCGTGTGTGGAATGAACCTCCAGAGGAAGTGGTGGATGCGGGTACAGATACAACGTTTAAAAACATTTGGATAAGTACATAAATGAGAAATGATGTGGAGGTGCCGACATTGGGCTGGGGTGGACAAAGTCAGAAGTTGCAGGACACCAGGTTATAGTCCAAAAGATTTATTTTAAGTCACAAGCTTTCGGAGCTTGTCCCTTTTTCAGGTGCAGTGACAAAGGGGCTGCGCTCTGAAAGTCTGTGATTTCAAATAAAGCTGCTGGACAATAACCTGGTGTTGTGTGACTTCTGACTATGAACAAGAAATGTTTGGAGGGATATGGTCCAAGCACAGGCAGGTGGGAGCAGTTTAGTTTGGGATTAGGGTCGGCACGGACGAGTTGAACCGAAAGGTCTGTTTCTGTGCTGCGTGACTCTATGACTTTATTTCACTTATGTGAATTTGATTTTCCCTTTAGTTTACTTATTGTAGCTTCATTTTACTTGACCAACCCTCACCTGAATTTCCTCTCAGAGTTGAAACGTTGCTTTCGCTTTATTTTGGTATTTCTTATGAATTGTGCAGATGAGGAGATAAAAAAGAAAAGACGAGATAAAAAAAAACTTTGACAAAAATGTATCTTTATTTTCAGCAAATCCTGAGTTCTATCCCACACTACAACTATTAATAAAGATTATGACTATTGATAAACTAAGCTAGTACTGATAGGTCTGACTAATACGGTATACACTTTATTGTTTCAAGAAATCTTACTTAAAACATCACTTACCCCAATGCAAGGAATTCCCACAAGTACCTCCTGACTCCATTTTCCATACAATGTGCTCAAGTAGCCATTGATTCACGTGGGATATAATTAATCTCAGTCAGTACAATTAATATCCAGAGGGCTCTAGTGGAGCAGTGGTAGTGTCCCTATCTTTGAGCCAGAGGGCCCGGGTTCAAGTTCCATCTTCTCCCAGTATGTACTAACTTCTCTGAACAAGCTCATTGGAAAATATCTACAATTAACATCCAGGGAGCTTGTAACACAGCAGTAATGTCCCTCCCTCTGGGCCAGGGTGGCTGAGTTCAAGTCCAGAGGTGCATCATATGGCAACTGCTCTTCCCAAGCTCGCGAGAAACTACAGAGAATCGTGAACACAGCCGAGTCGATCAGGCAAACCAGCCTTCTATCCATCGACTCCATGTATACATTCTGCTGCCTCAGAAAAGTAACCAACATAATCAAAGATCCTTCCCACCCTCCGCTTATACTCTCTTCCATTGGGCAGGAGGTAAAAAAGTTTGAATACACATCCATACAGATTCAAGAACAGCTTGTGTCCCATGCAAACAGTTTCAAAAACAGCTTGTTCCCTGCTGTTATCAGACTTTTGAACAGATTGCTCAAATGTTAATGCTGATCTCTCTCTCCGCACCTTCTCTGTGGTTCTAACGCTTTACTCTGCATTGTGTTCTGCTACCCTGATGGACTTTGTATGGTATGATCTGGCTGTATAGCACACAAAACAACACTTTTCACTGTATCTCGGTACATGTGACAACAATAAAACATATTGTGTCTGAACCACTCGATAAAAATAACTGCAAATAATGCCTATTGTCAGAGCAGCTAAATGCGCTTGAATCATTGCAAATTGAATGATTTAGTTATGCTCTTCTCACGTGCTAAGCAGAACCATTCGTCTCTCTCCCTGATATGGACTTGGCGGTCTTTCTTCAGGCTGGATAGACCAACAGAATTCCTTTCCGATGCTCACCTGCTGCTACCCGGTGTGAACCCGCTGGTGCAGTCGCAGGTGGGATGACCGGGTGAAGGCCTTGCCACATACAGAGCAAGCGAACGGCCTCTCCCCGGTGTGGATGCGCCGGTGCTTCCGCAGGCTGGACGCATCAGCAAATCCCTTCCGGCAGACCAGGCAGGTGAAGGGCCTCTCCCCGGTGTGGACCCGGCGGTGGGCCAGCAGGCTGGTCGACCGGGTGAAGGCCTTCCCACAGGCGGAGCAGGCGAACGGCTTCTCTCCGGTGTGAGCCATCTGGTGCCGCTGCAAGTTGGTGAGCCGGGTGAACTGCTTCCCGCACATGGAACAGGCAAAGCGCCGCTCGGCGGAGTGGACCGTGCGGTGGTTCTGCAGGGCAGACAGATCGCCGAATCCTTTGCCGCACTCGGAGCAGTTAAACGGCCTCTCGCCACTGTGCACCCGCTGGTGTAGTCGCACGTGAGATGGTTGACCGAAGGCCTTCCCACACTCAGAGCATCGGAACGGCCTCTCCCCAGTGTGGACCCGCTGGTGGGTAATCAGGTGGGATGACTGAGTGAACCCCTTCCCACACTCAGGGCATCGGAATGGCCTCTCCCCGGTGTGGACCCGCCGGTGGGTGACCAAATGGGATGAGTGAGTGAATCCGTTGCCGCACACGCAGCATGTGAACGGCCTCTCCCCGGTGTGACTGCGTCGGTGAATCGCCAGGGCAGACGGGGACGAAAATTCCTTCCCACAGTCCCCACATTTCCACGGTTTCTCCATGGCGGAGGAGTATTTGTGTCTCTCAAGGTTCGGCAATCAGTCGAAACTTTGCTCACACCCAAAACATGGATATACTCTTTCCTGGTCTGAATAGTGCGATGCTTTCCTCAGAGTGTAACAATTGGTCAGCGCACTGGAACACTGTGTGGAACGTTGGGTACTCCTTCAGTCACACTGATGTTTGAAACCTGTGGAAGCAGACAGAATGGACAAATATTTCTCTTCCTTGATTTATGTGCCGATGATATTCCACACTGATGAATTGAGTGACTCCGTAAGATATTGATGTAGTGTTTGTTCCGAGATTCGTTTGTGTGAATCCTCCTCTTTAATCAGCCTGTAAAAGGAGTTTACACAAGTTATCACTGCTGGTACATGATAGAAATTCATATTACGTGTGTACGTATGTATGTTATTTAATTTTAAAATGTGAGCTTTAGAAATTCATATTATATGTATGTAAGTGTTATTAAAGTTCATATTATGTGTATGTACATGTTATTTAAAGTTGGTCATTATGCATGCTGTTTGTGATTAAAAATACGTAGGGGATGTGAGGAAGAACATTATTGAGGCAGGAATTGAGAATGATCTGGAACTCGCTGCCTACATGGTTCTTGGAATTGGGGTCGATAAATTAGTACAAAATAAAATTGGATGAGCATTTGAAAGAAATAAACAGGTATCCTATTATTGTGTAGATATAATGTACCTACAGGACTATGTTAAAAGGCCAGAAATCTTATAAATGAACCTTAGAGAATCATAAATAACGTGTCAAATATTCACCAAATAACATCAGACTCAATTGTCTTATTAATTGACAGATTACTGAAATGAGAAATTACCCCTATAAGATGTGAACTTTAGGAAAGAGGCCATTCTTTTAGCCAAATTAATATGTCAAGGTAGGGGAGCAAAGCATGTCAATGTATGGAAAAGAGAGACAAGTTAACCGACCTTTGCAGAGCCTGGCTGCTCCCTGGACTTACTTCTTCTCCGTTCAGTTACTGCAAGCGAGCAGTATTCTCCCTCCCCCGACAAAGGATGAGAAAAGGAATGGAAAGTAGATGTTGCACAGAGGAGGAACTATCACTTTGAACCGCACAGGACAACTTCCGCATTGTGACGTCCCGGTGGAGGGTGGGGCCTGCCTGAAGTCGCCAATAGGAATCACAATACTCGTTGGTGACGTCTAGGGGTTCCAGCCCAGGCGCGCGGAAACGAAAGCCACGCCCCCACCCTTTGTTCCGCCTCCTGGAGCCACGGTTTCCAGGAGCCACGGTTTCCAGGAGCCACGGTTTCCAGG